TTGCATCGCCTGTGCAACCATTGTTCTGATCATCTTCACCAGTTGACCATTTTCGGGATTCGACGTCTCTGTCCGGGCTGGTTCGCGGCCTGTTACTCTGGCGGCATTGGTAGTCGACACCCGACGACATCTTGATGCACCTCCTGGTGGGTGGTTTCCATGTTTTCATGGTTTCCGGTGGTGGTTTTTAATCTTGTACGAACCATTGTGGGTCTTGAGTGATCGGGTCATTGGGATTGTTTGCCAGAAATTCTGGGATTTTGGCGGAGGCCCTCTTCGCCAAAATGTTGATACAAGATTTTGCAACAATTAGAGCGATCCGATTGACCTTGACAGAATCGGAACGGATGTATGCGTGATTACAAGTAACCGCAATGTAATGAATCAAGAATGATTAAGTAAATGACATAAAGAATTTTTAAAGTGGTTCAGCGAGTTAAACTCTTGAGTCTACGTCCACTGTCTTTGTAACTGCTATGAGAGCTTACAATGATATTCCTAGAACAATTTGCTAACCCCTTTCTTATCATTGGAGGGGGTTTATATATAGATTTTGTACAAAGGAAATAACGAAAATAAAGGGATTAAAATTAAGATTAAAATGCAACTATGATATTCTCGCGATTGAGCGCTGAGACTGCACCAAGATTGTTGTCGATCAGATCTCTTCCGAGATATCTGGGATCTGAAGTTATCTGTGAGTTGGTTGAACAACTGTAGGGATTGGTCGCGACTAGCTTGTGCTAGGTCGAGCTACATCTCGACGAGCTTATGCTGGGTCGAACTAATCCTGGATCAAACTATAACCTTGCAATTCTCCAAGCATGATGGAAAGATTACACACAACACTAGTTAACCCTAAAATTGTTTTTGGGTGTTAACAACATTAATTCTATATGATTTTTCCTTTACAGTAAATAAAGATGCTTAAAGTTTTCAATAAAAATAATTGAATTTTTAATTAATGTTAGTAGTATATATTTTAAAGGACTATAATACACTAAGAGTCTTAAAAGTTTCATAATACACTAGTTTCATGGAGCGCTAAATAGAGGTTGCCATGCATCCAATTATGGGTAGCTGGATGAATATAGATGCTTAATATGACTCGGTGATGCGATATTAGATGCAATTTGAAGCAGAGAAAAGTGAAATGTTGATTGGGAAACTTTATAAGATTTATCATAAAAAAAGAAAGAAATCTTAATTTGATTTGTCTGCTGGTTCCTTTCTTTAATCATCGTGGAAGGAAGAAGGTCACAATAACTTTAAGTCCCATTAAAGCAAAGTTGTTATTGCTGGACTAATTAATCTTGGGTTGATTAACATAAAATACATTAAAAAGTAGTGAACATGAATAAACTGCTCTCTTAACAGATGGTTGACCCTTGTCTTTTCCCCAACTCCATTTGTTTCCTTAATACCCTAATAAATAAGAGTAGTGACATGAAATTAATGCTAAAACACTTTGAATCTGATAATAAAATAAGAAATAATGTTATATATCTAAATTTTACGTTAATGCCAAATGATAATATATATTTGGCTTCATTTCAGTTTCATCATTTACTCTTAATGCCAAATGATGTGCAGTATAAGATGGAATTGATTTATGAACCTCTTGTTATTTCTTGTTAGTTTCAATCAATCATTTTCATATAGATGCATTAATTTCCTAGGAAATAGACAAGGACCTTTCAAGATTATGATCCTTATGCAATACATTAGAGTACTTCCAATGGAGCTTTTTATTTTAAAGAGCATTTTTTATATAAATAAAGAGTATTTTCATTGATTTTTAAATATAAAGAACAAATTTTTTATTTAAATCTAATAGACTCTTTAAATTTTAAGAGAGAAAATATGTTTTTTCAAGAAATAAACTTAATAGGAGAGATAAATTATAAATAAAATGCATAAAAACTTGTAATTTATTACTTAAAATTAGGATAGAGAATGAAATTTAACTCTGTAAATGTGGAGAGTCAAACTCACTCTTTAATTTATATTTAAAGAATAAAGAGTCTGTTAGACTCTTGTTTCTATAGATAAACTCTTTATAATAAAGAGTTTTGATCATATAATGAGTTGCTATAATCTATTTATAATTTACATTAACATATTTTAATAGTTACCCTTTTTATTTCATTGTTATTAAATTTTTTCATGTGCACTACAATAAATGTTCATGTGAATGTGAAAGAGCTAAAGAAGGTTTGGCCTATGGTAAAGGAAGTTTGTTTCTTTTCCTAGGTTTAAACTATTTTAGAATTACTTATCATATTTGTGACTTATTTAAAATATTAATCTTGTATGTTGTTTAATGAATTTCGAAAATTATTTGAGATGTGTGTAAATTGACTTAGATATCTCATTTAAAAAAAAAAAAAAAAAAAAGCTAGAGAATTATTTGATGAAAGAGAAAAAAAGAAATAAAGTTAGATAAATGGCAACAAGTGTTGGAAGGCACATGGTAGGGCAAAGTTGGTGCATGAGTACAGTGATAATGTTGCAAAAGTAGAGGAGACACTTCAGCTTTTTTGTTCTGGCAATTCATTATAAACCATTTTGCTTTTGCTTTTTGTTACCAAAGTTAAAATAAAAAGAGAGATTTAAGGCGGGATTGGCGTTCTGAATTTGTGTCAGGTCCAGGATATGGACAAAACAAACTGCACCACTGTACTCAATTTATAGGCAACTAAAACATGTTTTCTCTTTTTAATTAACTTTTTTTCTCTTATCGTTGGGAAATGAAGCAAAGTGCAACAAACTTTTCCTGTACAGGGATAAGGCCAAAACAGAAGGTTGAGTTTGCATATAATAATATAATTTTATCCTTCATCTTCATCGATGGGGCCTAGATTTATATGACTGAGTACTATATCAATAGCTCAGTAACTATGGTAATTCTCCTATCACATTTCCATTGTTATTTGTTATATCGTAAGAACCAATGGGGTTATCATTCCTGACCTCCCTTCACGTTTCGATTTTACAAAAACACCCCAAAGGTATAGTATATCATTTTTCATTTTTGCCTCGCGTTTGAAAAATTATCCTAGACCTTCCTTGGTAACCATTAATTAAGGGTCAAAAGAAATTCACAAGGGCTAAAATTGTAAAATGACCAACACACCGCTGGGAAACTAGAAATGTTAAAGCCTCACCTAACAATGACAAGTGATCATGCATTGACCATTGTAAGCACCATCAAACTCAGTACCTTTATCGTCTAGAGAATTTCCAATCATGTTCTAGAGAAAAGTTGACCAAGCATGTAATTTCCTTCTTTTGACATTGATAAAAGGAAAAAACATGTTTGGTGTGTGATATTGTATAGCTTAAAATATCGTCTAATCTTCTTGCTTAATACATTAGAATATTTGGTGTGAACTTTGTATTGTATAACTTAATACAAAATACAAGTACTTAATGCATATATATTGTATTATTTAATATAAAATTTTTATTTTGTTTTTATCTTAATTATTGGAAATTATATTATTAATCATAATTCATATACTAAAATAATTTATTTACAATTTTTTTATCTTTTTTTTTTGGTATCCAGGGGTATCCGGAACAACTTTTGCGCACTTCAACCAGTTCCTCAGGATCCTGAAATTAACGGCCAGATAAGCCTTTAATTGTTACTGACATATAATTAATACATAGGATAGGAATAAACATTTTCTAAATTTTTATTTTTTTACAAACTATTGTAATTTAATATATTATTAATAAACTTTTTTTTTTTTTTTAATAAAATGATTGTAATGATTTACTTAGATAATTTAATTTATACAAATGAACTTGTTTTACCTATAACCATTTCATAAGAAGCTATAAAAACCACAAGAATTTGGGTTCTTTATTGATTATGAAATTTGCACTTCCTCCCACATTTGCAATATCTACAGTATTCCCTCATTAAGAATTGTGCTAGTTGATGAACTCATTCTTTTATTTCTTGGAAATACTACTCTTGTAATGATGTTTTAAAATTTATTTGCTGAAGGCAGAGTATTTGATCTTGTGTGTATGTGCCTACTGGTGTTTTGGTGTTCCCTAGGTATGTGTTTGTGCTCTTGCATGTATGATGCTTCAATTGGCTATCGTTTAAAATTAGGCCTTTTCATTCACATCATTCCAATGTGGTGTTGGAAAGCGGACCTTCATGCAAGTTGTGATTTTTCATGTCTTTGTGAAGAAAATATGTTGGTTTGCTTGTGCATTTGGTGTATGAGTTTTAGAAATTTCCTTGGTGTATGTATGAGTTTTAGAAATGTGGTTGCTACTTGCTAGGAAGAAATTCAATTTCTATTGTGGTACGAATCTGTGTTTGTGCAAGAGTTGCTTTTTAATGGTGCAATCCCCAGGATTTAAAGGAGAAGCAATAGAACCTTAGGGCAACAGCGGCTCCTTCCAAGATTTTTAATTTTTTGTCTTATTCGCAAGGGCAACTTCGTCCTTTTAACTCATATTCTAATTTCTCACGTCAATTATTTTCAAGGATTAAATTGTTAGTACATTTAACTTTTTTTCGTCTTTAATTATATAACTAAGAGACGATAACATTATTTCCTCTCAGATGGTACCGGTGGTGAGTATATGTGTTTAATTAAATTTTCCCATTATAAAATCGCTTATAATAAAATACATCTGTTTCATTCAAAAAGTATTAAATATCTCTATTACAAAGTTTTTGATAATTTTGTAAGAAGATGTTTATATTTTTAAGAGGGCTTTTGATATATTTTAAAAAGTTTTTTTTTTCTAACAAAGCAAATGAATTCATTTTAAAAGATCTCACAAGCGAAAAGCCAAAAATAAACCCGTAACCCTTATAATAGTATAGATGACAGCAGGCACGTCGGTTGTCTTAAAAGGACACATTGATTGTTTTGAATTATTGTCCTAGAACAAATTATGGTGCTTGATTGTTTGTACAGTCAGATTTTAATAAGTTCCATATATTCTACATTTATTATAGAACCCAAATGAAGCTGTCCCTCAAAATTCACTGAAAATTTTTAACATCTACATTCAAACAGAAAAAACCCCAAGCCCAATTCTCAGTGTGAGCATCACAAACCTTTTGTACAACAATAGGAGATCATATTAGCTAAACATTATATGTTAATTTTTGTCATATAAGTTTTGATTGTATTTATAGTATGACCGTAGGCTCAAATCAATAACATTCTGGGCGTGAGAATTCATTTTGTATTCAACAATCAACAAGCATACCTTTACTGACACGCAATATCCAGGAATCCGAAACCGTTTTGCACCAGTCCTGCCAGAAGCATCTGCAATGAACAGAGGAGAAATGCTAAATGCGCCATTCATTTTTATTCCATGATGAGAGTACAGAAAAAATGGCCTAACAACAAAGAACTCGAATACGTAGGTAATGGAGTATAGTTGTATAATCTTCAAATTATTATGAAGCAAACACAAAAGAGATATTAACATGTGGTTCTGAATTGCAAATGCTCAAACTGTGGGAGACAAACAATGCAGACTAAGTCACAGCTAGATCCACTGAAAACTCGACACCTAAAGCTTCACCTCATGGCTCCTATAGCAGAGCGTTCCAGCCTCCAGGTGACATCTGCTGCATTATGTTTCAATTAGTCTCTTTGAACAAATTATCCATTCTATCATAGGTGTAATAAATATGAGCAAATTCATTTGAGCTGGAATTGAACTCACTGATGAGCTTGAGGGCTCTTCTTCATGGCTTATTGAGAAGACTGACATTTTAGAGGACCAGCTACGGCATGGTAGATTTGACAGCAACATCCTAAGTGGTTTCTGCATCTCTCCTGCATCACCAAAGCAGAGGTAAAGCAAAAATGAAATCTCTTTCCTGCACGTTTATGCTTTTACATTGCAAATCAACAAATATGCAGCCTTTATTAAATTTTGATAGGAAAGGTTTGTAAAACATTAACCATTTGTCTAAGTATATGCATTGCTTTTCATTTGTAAAGTTAGCAATAACCACCTTAAAAACAGGTACTCACAGAAGGGATGAATGGAATAAATTATTTGTAGCAAGGGCAGAGCTTGTCTGAATGAAAACAAATTACTACAAGATACTAAAAAGGTCCAACAATGCTAACTGAAGATCCTTAGAACATGTAAAACATAATGGACTAACAGAAACCTGCTATTTCCTCCCCAAAACTTCCAAATAAAAAGTCATATGAAAATTTCTCTGAGGACTTACCAGCTAAGAACCACTATATCAACCAATTATCCATGTCCAGAAGAGAAAAACTGCACACAAAGTAAAATGTTTGTAATGCATAAAAAGTTGCCAGTATTCTCACAGGCTGTTATTTAGCATCAGATTAAAAGCCATATATCTAATAAAACAATAACTCAAAAGCCCAAATCTCTTACCTTCTGCATCTTCATATTTTTTCAGTTAACCATGTTCTCCCTTTCAAGTTTGAGCGCCCGAGAAAAACTTCTAAAGACAGCAACCAACTTTGATCAAGAGCCAAGCAGTTTGTGACCAAACGCAGTGTTTTAACGGTTTATCTAGGACCCGAAAGCTTCACCGGGCCAGGTTAACAATTTCTCTATTCACCCAAAACCATGATGATCAGCGAACAATTGAAGGCCGAGATGTTGAGGCTTTTGAAGAGAAAGTGCTAGTGAGTGCAATGGTGGCGACATAGTTGATTTCTGGTGAGTGAATCGATCGGAAATCGAAAAAAAAGCGGTGGCAACAACCGGCTTTTGCCGGTGATTGGTGAGGCTAATGGGGGTGGGGTGAGGTGGGTTTTGGTCAGAAGGAAGAGGGGAGTTTTTTCGGGGTGATGGGGACGGTTGTCGACGCCAGTATCGGTGAGATCTAGCCTAGAATGTCGACGCCAGCGTCGATGAGATCTGACCGAAATCGAACTGATTTCGACCAGATCTTGGATAGATTTTATGGGGAATGGGCTCAAGGGATGATTGATATTGCATGTGGGGTGTCGCCGCGGCCAACCAGTCAAAGCCGATTTGTATTTGGGATGTGTTTGATAAATTTTAAACCGTAGGGACTTAACTGTAATTTTCAGGGGTATATTTGCAGAATTTTAAAAGTTTTGTCACTGGGTTTGACCGGCTGGTCAAACCGGTTAAACCGGTCAACCCAAGACCCGGAAACTTTGCCGGGTTTCACCCCAGGTTGGTTATTAAAACATTGCCAAAAGTCAACTGTCATGAGTTAAATTACATTGCACTAGAAAGTTTCCGTGCAACTCACTTGTCACCAATCATCAAGGGAAAAAGAATAGATTAGGTGGGAAGGAAAACAATAAGTGTGTTCTATTCATACTTCAAAGTACAGTTGTTATTGCAGGTGGATATGCAGATACAGGGGAAAGAGAAACATGCTAAGTGCCGTGATTCAAGCAGATAAAGCATTATATCAGATATAATCTGGACACAAAATCTAATCTTTCCTAGCATGACTGTATCTTAATTTTCTGATATCCAGGCCATTTATGGTTTCACATTCCAGGGATGGCTACTTTGCTCACTGAAAGTATTTTTTCTCAGAGTGTTCTAGGGCTTAGGGTGAGTTTGATGAGTGTGAACATTCCTAGCTTTGCAGAATCACTCTATATAGTTTGATCAACTTTAAAAAAATAAAAAACAAAGAGCTAGAGGTAGAGCTGCTATCAAAATTTGTCCCAGGATGAAGTTACTGGCTTATATGACCTTGAGCTATATAATACCATATATTATGAAGTGCAGCTGCAACTTTGCAACTTCACTAACCAGTTTTATTGATGTTGCGGGAAAGTCTTCGTGTATTTCTAGTCCAAAGCCTGCCTAAAAATGTGAAAGTTTAGAAGATTCCAAACATTGGCAATAATGCCACTTGATAGAGCACAGAATGCTTGTTTTGCAGCCACTCGTCGTGCTTCCAATAGTCTGGCATCACTAAAGAGCTCCTTGAGAGCTTCTTCAAGTTCTAGTTTTCCAGACACCTGCATAAGCAATGACAAGGAAAAGCCCAGGTTGATGTTTGACCACTAAATTTGACCAAATAGGACAACTGATACAATTGTGATTCTACCAAGAATAAAACTTCCTTGTACATGATGTATGTTAATTATCAACTAAACTTTGAAACACAAATTGAGCATTTATACCTATAAAAAAATGTGATGCCATGCTTTAAGAATTCAATTCAAAACTGGGCTAGATTTAAGCATTTTAATGTGGTTAACAGACGTCCATCTGGATTCATCAAAACCATTTAAATAACAAAGAGATAATGTTGAATTACTTCCAGATCAGGAACTGGAGTACCCAATCTATAGTCAACTGAACAAAGGTCTGTGAGAAAAAGATCATGAAACAAATCAGATTAGCACTAGACTAACTATTTTAAATAGCATGGACCAGGAACTCAACTGAGTCAATTACAGACTGAAAACAGATTTGCAAGTACTATGTCATCATCTCAGAATGACTCTAAAAGGAATCTCAATAACAAGAAGGGGTTCTTCATACCTGAAAAACTGACATAGGGTTTACCCTTTGCATTTCCAACACCATGTTTGAGTAATGTCCGATGTGGTGACCTGAAATTAGCAAAACAACGAAGCTTCTAGGGGAAGAATGCTAAGATGCACACATGGAAGCTATTATGGGGTATGAAAGCAAAAAATCACCAGTCAAAACAGCACAGCCAGCAGCAGCAGCTTCTGATATGTTATGGCCAGCTAAACTGGGCAAGAAAGAACCTCCAATAACAGCTATTGGAGTTATTCTATACAATTGTCTCAATTCACCTACAACACAAGTTGGAAAAGAAAATAATGACATTATGAACCATTGTTCTGAAAGTCTAGCATAAAAATGAATACAAGTACTTCATTCTGTCAGCTTGCCACTATGGCAACTTACTAATTAATCATGTTTTTTTTTTTTATTATTATTATTTTTTAAATGTGTAATCATGATGAGAGCACCAGATAATAGTAATTAAGAATAAGTGATGATTAATATAGATTAAATAGTTTCTGGGAGAAAACAAATGTGCATTTCAGAAAGCAAAACATACTTACCCACAAAGAAAAAAAAGGAATAAGAGGAAAGTGCAAACCTAATGTGTCCACCACATATACATTTGTTCTTGGTGTTAGCATTTCATGTCGAGATCTCAAAGCTACAATTTGCCCTTCTTTCTGCAATTCCTGTGCTAATCCAAGATGCATTAATTTCTAATACAAGACTAGGTTTCACATAGCCAACAAATCTCAATGAAGCTATAAATTAATATATTCTTAATCATCCAAGAGAGAAATAATCTGTCAAATATAACTAAATCATCAATCATACACAGGTGTTAATAATGACATGAGCAGTTTCCAAATAAATAACCAAAAAAAAGTTAAGTGACAAATATCACGTAAACAAAATAATGTGGCATACCTACTTCCATTTACAAAAATCTTTTACTCCAAAATTAAAGTTTATATCTGCCCCATTTTTTTGATATTGTCCAAAGTAACTCATCATATTCTAATATTGCTCCATGCAAACAGTAAATTCAAATATGCTTCGTAAATTATGTTTTTCATAAATGAAGATCCCACAAAAACACAAATACAGAAATATGGCAAAATAATTTCCGTAGGTGTGACATTTGTGTGGTTAGTTTCTATGGATAGTTAAGCAGGTCTAGAAAGTCAAACTCGGTAGCCAAGCAACGCTTAGAGTAAATATTACAGAAACCCATTCTCATTATCCATCAAAATTTCATTAAATAAAAATATTCCTTCCAAACACAAAGGGCTTTGATACGGAGAGACAGAAGACAATCAGACAAACCTCCTAAACAAAAGCATGAATTTCAAGCAAGTTGAGTATAAGACCTACATGGATTGTCAAGAAGATTTTCTTTCTTTCTTTTTTCTTTAAATTAATTGATATATTTAACATATAAAAAGATTTACAAAAAGAAAGCAGCTACTGACAAGTAGACTATACAAAAATAGGTCAATACAAGTGACTAGGACATACAAAAGGGTCCAAAATTTTATATATTGCACATTATCGTGTTCCTATAATAACTAGGTAACCAAATGTATCTGCTCATTGGGGAAGAATCGACTTTAAACCCCTATTACGGAATATACTTCACACCCCATTGAAGAATTGAGTATGACGATAATATATTCAGAATAAAATATTTGGGAATATAAAGATAGAATAATATAAACAGTCTGATATTAATCATTAATTAAATTGAAAAGAACAGTAGCAGAATCATACATGAGCAATCTCTTTTCCATGTTGGGGATGTCGAGGTACAATAATAGTGACTATATTGGGGATCATTCTCACGAGCCCTTTGTGAACTTCTAACATTACTGCAGATAATAATTGTCAGTGCTTTATCCAAGATAAATTTAACTATCAGGAAGTAAAACTTTTTCCCTTATTACTTGTTGAGGACTAAAACCAGCTTGAAGGTGAGATTCCTTAAAAAATCTATTAAAGTGTATCCAAATACTATAAAGAAAACATGCAAACAAAAATCATTACGTTAGTATAATATTGCTCAACTGTACCACAACAAACTCAGCAGCTAATGCTATAAATGCCCAAACAACTAGTCCAGGATAAATGAAAAGAAAATTATTCTAGCAGTGGCACATTGATGTAGGACAACCTATGAGGGAAACCTAGAGATTTAATGGCTGCATTGTAATATAATTGTTATTTCTTTCCTATTTTATTTTTATTAGTTTCCCAATTTATTTAAGATCTCCTTACCTTGTAATTTGAAGCTAGATTTCTAGGATATTTGATTTAATGATTGTATATTCCTAGAATAATTATCTGCCACATAAGAATAAGGCTTGGCCCTATGAATAGGGCCTTACTTCAGTGTTAAAGAAAAGTGGACGATGAAATAAGATTTTCTTCCCTCTATCTTTCTCTCAAGTTTTCTCCCCTTTCTTCTAAATTCCCCATTTCTATTTTCTTCTAAATTGCACTCATCCACTTTTATTTTATCTTTACTTTCAAGAACCCATCATAGACATATTAACCAAGTAATGGAATGAAGCTCGGTGCATAAAACTCTAATGCATATACCAGGCCAAGAATTGAAGTTCAATACATTAGTAAACATAAACTTGCAGGAACCAACCTTTTTCTTCGCCCCTATGTATGGAAGAAGCCATCCAAACCTGCCTGTTGTCAAGCAATCCCTTCAGATCTTCTATACTTCCCATATATTCCTCAGAATCATCATATTCATGTACTGCTGAATGGAAAGAAAGTGAAATCCAGATTATAACAGACCATGTTTATCAAAATTGTTAAAGTATACAATCAATAAAGAATAAAAAATACAAACTTCTTCAGGGTAAACAACATATTCTAGAAGGCATTGCCAAAAGAAATGTAATAAATATTGTTACAAAAACTGGTTTATGTACAAAGTTGGGAAAAACAAAAAATATTAATTGTTGTCAACCAAGTTAATTCAACGTGCAACAACTGAAGGTGAATGCAATACATAATATATCTATATACCATATTTCAAGTCACCAGAAAAGTTTATGATTGAAGGTGGGGCTTGCAGTAGCTGAAAACAGATTGCCTGTGAGGTGCTCTGTCATATACAACAAGATCAGTGACAACTTGATAATGGTGTCAATTAACTTGATAAAAATGTAGGTGCACATACCAAAGGTACAATCAAGGAAAATTTTGACAGTAACAATGATATCAGTGGAAGAAGCAATGGTCGGGACCACTGTATTAAAGATTTAGTAGACACACGAGCATTTAACAAAGCTAATGCTATCTGAAAAGCACAAACAAGAAGTGATTATAGTAAGTCATAATACTAAACAACAAATAACCACATTATGTGAATTGTATGATGAAAAATTAAAACACAAATACACACACAAGTAGATGCACCCCTTGGTATGATTTTATATATTGATATAAACTCAAGCCATTTAAGACAAAATATTAATTGCCTACAACAAAATTTTACACTAGTCAAGAAATCAGTCTTCCTGCTTAAAGCTTGTAGAGAAACTATTCAACAACCAAATATATAGCAATTAAAAGTGCTACACGATTGAGAAATACAGGTATCGAATATAAGATTGATTCTTTGTTCTTTTAATTCTTAAAAGTGTGTACACAGGCATCAACAAGAAGGAATAACTTACACCATGTTTTGAAGCACCCATAATAAGATTAGGCCACAGCTCACTCTCAATTATAATGATTGCATTTGGCTTCCAATAGCCAAGGAAAGCATCTATAGCAGCGGGAGTATCAAGGGGACAAAACTGGTTTCATAAGAAAGTTTGAACAAACCATAAGGAAGCATGATATCTATTTTTTATTAGCATAAGCAGAAAATAAATTATGCCTTAAAGTTCAATGACATGGCAAAAGAATAACAGCAGTAACCAAAAACACTTTTAAACTAATAAAAGTTAGAAAAATGCCTGTCATAAAAAGCCAGCATGCACAACAGACGAGGTAAAACCGTAAAAGTATAATAAATTGAACAACTTCAAGAAAAGCTTCATTAGAAAACTGTTTCTAAAGGAATAGCGGAGCAGGGGCATGCTTAATAGAGTAAATTAACGCAAATTTACTAGAAGACAGGACAACGATGTGGTACTGGCAACAAGAAAACAACAATGCAGTAAAAAACAAGTTCTACTTCTATCAATCTAGTGAATTCAGCAGCTTATCATGACAATGACTAATTTAATAAAATCCTTAGATCACCTTGGACAAGATTTTCCTTTTTTTTTTTTATAAACTGAAAACAGCCTGCCAAGTTTCTCTGTAGATTAGACATTGATTGAGAAAAAGGAAAAAGGAAGGGAGGTACATGTTCATTAAAGCACTAAACATGAGAGAATAACCCTAGAGATGCACCTGATATATGACACCACTTGGAAGTCGACTTTTTATCACTTCACTGCAGCAAAATAAAATAAATAAATAAGTAATCGTCATGTTTCTTCTACAAGGAATATTTTCACTAAAATAATGGAAAAAAATGAAGCAAGAACACTCCAAATTAAATAACCACTTGATCTCTTAAATTGTTGGTGAAGGCAACAATAGCAGTTAAGCTCAAATAGAGAGATGTAAAAGGATGTAGAAGGTGATACATGGGGATTCAAACTAAGGGTGTAGAATCTGATACATGGGGATTAAAACTAAGGACCTTAGCTTTGATAACATTTTAAGTAACTGTTAGAACTAAAAACTTAAACTAGTAAGGATGGCAAAACATAGATTAAAGCTCTTGCATTTTAAGAGTCAAGAATAAACTATTTGCAATATCAATGTTGTTGCTTGTAAAAGTCTAGGAATTCCACATGGATCCATTAATAGTCATGGTATAAGAAGGATGACCACTGCAAGTAACATTTTACTCTTTTGAGCTGAGCGACCACCCATCCTAATGAGGCTTGTCAAAGTTATCAGATTCAAGTTATTGTGAAGTGGACTACATGTTTTGTGAGCACTACTTCGCTATAGTTTTGAGTCACTCCAACTAGATTGTACATCGCTTACAACTTCTACCAACATTGCCTTGCATTTTACCCATTTTAACATGAACAAACTCACACCTGGGATCAAACTTCTCCATTCAGACTCCAATTCACTTCTTTTGCTTAAATTCAGTACTCTCATTCATTTAGTTACATGCCTACAAAATAAAAGTCCAGACAGGCCTCAAATAGAATTACCGAAAAAATCCCTTGTTTGGAATTTAGGAACACTGGAGGTTTTTGATAACAGTAAAACATTAAAAAAGATCTTGACCAATTTAAAAAAATGTTTATCATGATTTTTATTTTGCCTATTATTCAAATAAAGGTTTTTTGTTTTTTTTTTTTTTTTTCCCCAGTAAGATTTCTATTTTATTTTTCAATTAAAAACTCGATTTACATTAAAGCTTGAACTGCAAGCAAGATAAGTTTACTTATAAGGTTCAATTACAGAAGAAAAATAAACGCACTTACAAAGCAGAGTATGTAGCAGTAGTCATCAGAATGGTTAAATCAGGCCTTAACCGATGGCAATGTTTAATTACAGGAATGGCAGCCATTCCTTCACCTAATTAACAAATAAATAACACAAATATTAATTGAAACCTATAATTGGCTTCATAAAAGCAAAGCAACACGGTGTAAGTTTAATTTAAGTATAGATACGGAACCTAAAGAGACTGCGTGGAACCAGAGGAGCGGGCCCGTGGGGCGAGCCACAGATGGATGGCCCAAACGCTCTGGCCAACGGCGAGGGTGCCCGAGGCCTCGGAATTTTCGCCATCGGAGGTGAAGGTACACCAAGGGCGATACACTGTAGGTCAGCGTTCTGTATATATTGTAAAGTAGCATTCCCTTCATTGTGTTTGGAATTGCAGCAGAGAAGTTTGCGCTTGTTTCACTTCATTTAAGTGGAGAGGGTGAGGTTTGAAAAATTGAAATTGGTGTTTAGTGAAACTGAGAGGTGTGGTGGGCCGAGCTTGGAAGTTTCGTAATGGCGCCCACATTTGGCCTTTCATTGTCCTTTTTCGCTCCGTTAAACATTTATAAAATTTATATTTATAGGNGGCGTGGAACCAGAGGAGCGGGCCCGTGGGGCGAGCCACAGATGGATGGCCCAAACGCTCTGGCCAACGGCGAGGGTGCCCGAGGCCTCGGAATTTTCGCCATCGGAGGTGAAGGTACACCAAGGGCGATACACTGTAGGTCAGCGTTCTGTATATATTGTAAAGTAGCATTCCCTTCATTGTGTTTGGAATTGCAGCAGAGAAGTTTGCGCTTGTTTCACTTCATTTAAGTGGAGAGGGTGAGGTTTGAAAAATTGAAATTGGTGTTTAGTGAAACTGAGAGGTGTGGTGGGCCGAGCTTGGAAGTTTCGTAATGGCGCCCACATTTGGCCTTTCATTGTCCTTTTTCGCTCCGTTAAACATTTATAAAATTTATATTTATAGGGTAATATTACGTCAACATTTACAACCTAAACTCATAATTTTTCTTTTACAATATCGACGTAATAACTCATAATTTATCAACTCATAACGTGTTCTATCTGCTCAATTGTTAACTGTCACGTTAGAGTTATGTAAGAAAGTTTATAAGATTGGGTTGTAAGTCAATCATTATTGATATTTATATGTGCATATTAAGAAAATGAATGTCAAAAATAATTTTATATTTGTTTGTTATTAAGGTAGGGCAAAATAAGACATAATATCTCCAATGAGTGATTTGATATACTTTTAATATAAGGTTGTTTTGGCGTGCAATATTACATAGTATAAAAGAAAATTGTATAATATAACATAACATCAAATTGTATTAGACTTAGTCTAAAATTGGTGTAACTTATTCTATAATAACTATAATCATCTATAGATTGACTTTAAAAAGAGTAAACAACATTTTCCCACCCAAAGTTTGGCAAATTTGCAATTCCTACCCCCGGTTTCATAAATCGCAGATTCTTACTCTTAAATTAACAGAAAACTATTTAATCTAACAACTAAAAGGGTTAAATGGTCATTCCAAAGATGAAAATTTCAAAATAACCAGTCACTTCTCAAATTCACCCCACCGAAAATTTTCAAAATAACCCGTCACTTCTCAAATTCACCCCATCGGCAATTTCACGCCATTCCAGCCTATTTTTGACGCAGTGGACCCCTCCCAACACCACCATTACAATCCCTTCAACCCCCACATCAAAACCCGTAACCTCCCTGTAACGCCTACATTGAGGTACGTAGCTTGTTTTTACTTGTTTGCCCTTAGTTATGTTTGTATGCCCTTTAGTTTTGCTTGGTTACCCTTAGTGTTGCTTGCTTTAAGGTGAAAGGTTGAAAATTTGGGAAGCGCAAACTTCGCTGCGTCGACGTATGCCTTGGAATTTTTCGCCGAGGCGAAGAGTCGACTGTAATTCTTAAGGAAATTCTAGAGAAATCTTCCTTAGGGGCAAAGTGACCATTCTACCCCTAATTAGTTGAAAATGTGGGAATGAAAAGTAATGAAATTTTATGAAGAATGCGATGGTGATGAGGGCATTTTTGTACTTTACTAAGGGACAAAGATGGAATTTTCTATAAAGTGTAAGGGCAAAATGGGAAAGAATGCATATTATATGAGATATTAAGGGTTCAAGCACAAAGACCCTATCATTCTCTCCACCCCACACGCCACTTCCACTCTCAATTTCTCTCATCTCTTCATCAAATTTCCAAGAGATTTTAGAGGGCTTTTGGTTGGATTTTGGTAGAGATTTGATCCTAAGCACCCAAAGGTAAGAATTCTTGCAATAGATGTGAGATTAATTTTTTAAAAGTGTTGAATTCTCATAGTGTTTATGCTTAGGGGTTTAGAGAAAGAACAAGTCTACTAAAGAAAGAAAGATTCTAGTGGAATTACTCAAGCACAAGATAAGTAAATCAAACCCAAGTTATGATTTGAGAAATCAAGTGTGTAAAGATTTTACATATATGTATATGCTTATGATTTTGAGAATTATTGATGAAATTGATGATTATTGATGAGTAGAATTTAGCCATGAGAAGTGGTTTTGGTTATATAATGATTAATTGAAGTTTGGTTGAAGTTAGAAAGAGTTGAGTAGAAGTTTTTGGGAGTGTATTGTTTTAGACAGGTTTAGTAATTTGTTTAAGGGTGTCTTACTCCAAATATTGGTGGCTTGAGAAAGAAATAGAATTGTAGCCAAATTAGAGTTTTATTATGCATGCAATATGTTTGATGAAATGTCCAAGAGAAGTGTATGCATGAGTTTTATTCATTTATGAATTGACATGAGTTTGTAGATGGTAGAGAGAAAACTTATTTTTATGCTACATGGCATCCTTGCATTTAAACATTTTCATTTATATAGAATAATGAGCATAAGCCATCTACATATGTTCAAGAATTTAAAGAATAAAGAGAAAGAAAGAAAAGTTATTAAAGAATGCTCTAAAAGAAGAAAAGAACAAGTTGTTGCGATGGGGAACCTGTGAGTGACAAGAAGAATTTCCCCGCATGCACGCCGCCTTCAGTGAGCGGCCTAAGAATAAGAAGAGAAATTGGTATAGCCCGTAAGAGTGCATGTGGATGAGGGTTGTACCCAAGAAAGAAAAATACTCTCACACGGCCAGGGTTCCAAATCCATGCCTCAACCGAGCCCGATCGGCAAAGAATAAGAAAGCATAAGAGGAAAAAAAAAAAAGAATAGAAAGAAAGAAAGAAAGAATAGAAAACAGAAAAGAAAATGTGCACTTCTTGCATTTGTGCATGTGCATCACACTTATGCATGGCATTATGCCTACTATCATGAGTAGTGAGAAATTAGAAAGAAATAAAGAAGAAGTAATGAGAAATTAGAAAGAAAGAAAGAACAGAGAGATAAGAATAGAGAAAAACAGGGATAGAACAGAGAAGAATAGAGAAGAGTAACGTAAGGAAAGAAATTAGAATGTGAGCAATGGAGAGAAAAGGCTAGTACAGCGGGTTTACTTACTGAGCAATTAGTGCTTACTCCGTTGATTTCTTTGTTTTTGCAGGAAATATGTGAGAAGCGGTCGGATAGACGTCGAGAGACGGAAGGAAAATGGCACCACTGTCTACTATTTTTGAGCTTATGTACATGAAACTTTTATTAATGTAAAGAATTTTATATATAAAGTAAAGAAATTACTCGGGCCCATTATCTTTTACTTACATGTTTATGTGTTTTTAAAGTATTATATTTCCCAAGTATATAAGTTAGAAAGAGTCATTACACTCCCCGCCTGATTGAACCCCCTAACTGTCGGCCACTGCTTTTAGTGCCAGTTAGTGTTTCATCCAAATTTCGGTAGGTCTCGGCACCAAAAACCACCCTAACCACCAAAACCTCTAACATCGCCAACTGCAATTGCCCGCCAATCGCCGTCGCCTCTCCTGTAGTTTTTTGTGTTTTGTCGCCCCTTTCCAACCAAATTCGGACTGGAATCAGGCCATATTTTTGGCTTGGCCAGGATCTCCTCGAGGGGTTATTTGAGAGAAATTTGAGATGTGAGGGTTATTTTGAGAGAAAAGTAACGGTGTTAATTTAATGGTGGGAAGTGCAATTTATGAAAGCAGGGGTGGGAACTACAGATTCGTCAAAACTTAGGTGGGAAAATGTCCTTTACTCCTTTAAAAATAATCAACTTTATAAATAACCTATTAGAATGTTTGTTTTTCTTAAATTTAAAATCAACTTCATTTTTAGGAAATGATATATTAACAATGTAAAATTACAATAGATATATTTGAAATCATTTTTGTATTATTTAAAATAAATTTAAATTCAGGTTTTTAAATAAAAAGTAAAAAAACTAGACTAAGAGTTACCAGACAACCACCGCCGGCAAACTTTCCAATAGCAAGTATATTGACAACGCCGACACTATTGTGCTCGCATGCCGGTGATATACGTGATGGTGTCGGCCGTGTTGTCAAATATTGCAGCGTTGTCGTAGTGAGTCGACAAAGTTTGGTCGAACCTTTGTTGGCTCGGTGTGGCAAAACACCACATTCTTTGATCAAATCGCTAGCACCATATGATAGATCGCCAACCGTTGATTCCAATAGTGCTAGCAGTGATCCTCCATTTGCTGTCGATAGGTTCATCGACGACAGTTCCCAACCATTGGCGGGGGCAACTGGTTGGTGACTCTGCCAGACCTTTTTTTTTGTGTGTGTGTGTGTGTGTGTGTGCATAATTACTTTATTGATCTACTTTTAAAAGTTAATTAAAAAATAATTAGAATGCATTTATAGTTTTAGGGAATTTTAGTAATTGACTATTCTAAAAGTGTTTTTGAAACGTAAAAGTAAAATTACGTACTTTTGAAATCCTTCTCTAAAATAGATTATTGAAAAAGTAGATTATTTTATAATCACTTTTGAAATGTGTTTACCAAACACATTTTGAATGATTGCTCAAGAAATAAGTGATGGGATAAGCTGTAGCAACCCCAAACTCACCCTTATATAATGTTATACCTAATGTTGTATGATGTTTGGAAGGACATTGCATTATATTATTTTTATATTATACTATGTTTGAAGTATGAATTGCATTGTATAATATTACTTTTGTTCTCTAAAAAAAAAATTCATTTTATTAAAAACTAATATATATTTCTCAATTATTATTTAACTAATAAATTCAAAACTTGAATTCTTTCTAGCGATTAAAGCCAATCCACAGAAGTCAAAACTGTGGTCAAACATGATCAATCAAGCATTGGTCAAATAGATCAACAATGGCTGACACCGTTGGATTGCATTGACCAATGTTTGACTGGCCACTGCATATTTAAATTTATTAAAATTAAAATTAAAGTTAATTGGCAATTAATGTTAAGTAAAGTTGCATGAACCACTGCAATGGTTTTAAT